TTGTGTGTGTGTGTGTGCGTGTGTGTGTGCATGTGTGTGCGTGTGTGTGTGTGTGTGTGTGTGTGAGAGACCTTAATATAAGCTGATCAGTTTGGTCAGCAGGGAGGTTGGATGTCTGCCAGAGGGAGGAGGGGGGAGATTGAACAGGAGCAGATAATATGAGCGAGAGGGGGGGGGGGGCGGTGTACGAGGGGGGGTCAAAGAAGGGAGGGAAGGTATTGCATCCAGATGGAGAAGATAAAGCTTCACACTGAATCCCTCCTCTCTCCTCCTCCACCTACCTCCTTACTGTGTTTCCTCCCCCCTCGTGTGCGTCTCTCTGTGTGTGAGTGTGTTTCTTTGCTGTCCTCATCTCGGTTTGCAGGTTATTGAGGTTCTTTTGGACGTAGACTCTTGAAACAGAACTCTGCAATGATGGAACATTTGAAATTAAGTACAAAGTTGTTACTGCGGCTGCTTTTTCTGGAATGTAATAAATTGAATTGTCAAGACTTTGAACGAGGAATATTCAAATTAGATTTTATTCTACCTGATTTCAGATAAAGGCGTACAACTTCCAAGAACATCTGGATGTGACTTAATCTGCAGTCTAGACTTTGGTTTGGGCTTAAAATAAGTGAGAAGAAAAAACGCTTCACTAACGCAACTTGAAAATATCTCTGGGACTCGGGAGCCTTCGCTCGCTCTGCTGTGACCTGAATCCCCTCACAAGTACACAAAAGCCTGCAAATGTCAAGTCCAAATAAACCTCACCAGTATTTATTCTCTCTCACGTGGCGTCTGTTGGGGAAGTTCCCGTCTTTACAGGTGGCGCTGGTGATGTTTGTGCTGGATGTTGTGTTGCTTTTTCATGCTTCTTGGACCAGCTGGCTTCTCACTCGTCATCCCTTCTTCTAAAAGGACGAACGAGGTTTGTTTTGAGGTTTATTTTACCAATGGAGCCATTCTGCGTGTTACATTAGTGCACGTTACATTAGTGTAGGTTACATTAGTGCACGTTACATTAGTCCACGTTACAATAGTGCACGTTACATTAGTGTAGGTTACGTTAGTGCACATTACATTAGTGTGCGTTACATTAGTGTGCGTTACATTAGTGCACGTTACATTAGTGTACATTACATTAGTGTGCGTTACATTAGTGTAGGTTACATTAATGTACGTTACATTAGTGCACATTACATTAGTGTGCGTTACATTAGTGCACGTTACATTAGTGTACATTACATTAGTGCGCGTTATATTAGTGTACATTAGTGCACGTTACAATAGTGCACGTTACATTAGTGCATGTTACATTAGTCCACGTTACAATAGTGCACGTTACATTAGTGCACGTTACATTAGTGCACGTTACATTAGTGTAGGTTACGTTAGTCCACGTTACATTAGTGCACGTTACAATAGTGCACGTTACATTAGTGCACGTTACATTAGTGTAGGTTACGTTAGTGCACATTACATTAGTGTGCGTTACATTAGTCCACGTTACATTAGTGTGCGTTACATTAGTGCACGTTACATTAGTGCACGTTACATTAGTGCACGTTACATTAGTGTGCGTTACATTAGTGTACGTTACATTAGTGTGCTTTACATTAATGTACGTTACATTAGTGCACATTACATTAGTGTGCGTTACATTAGTGCACGTTACATTAGTGCACGTTACATTAGTGCACATTACATTAGTGCACGTTACATTAGTGCATGTTACATTAGTGCACGTTACATTAGTGTACGTTACATTAGTGCGCGTTACATTAGTGCACATTACATTAGTGCACGTTACATTAGTGCACGTTACATTAGTGCATGTTACATTAGTGCATGCTACATTAGTGCACGTTACATTAGTGCACATTACATTAGTGCGCATTACATTAGTGTACGTTACATTAGTGCACATTACATTAGTGCATGTGACATTAGTGCACGTTACATTAGTGCACGTTACATTAGTGCATGTTAGTGTGCGTTACATAAACTGGTCTGCTAGAAAGTGTGTCGGCATTATATTGAAACTTCATTGTCATTTACGATGAAAGAAAGATAAAGATGGATTTGAGATCAAAAGTATTTTCAACTAAATCCGTATAAGTTGGTGGGCGGGTGTTAAAAGCAGGACAGCAGGGTCCACGTCCTCTGAGGGGACGGGGTTAGAAGGCCAAACCTTAATTTAGCCGACCATCGTAAATGTAAAACTAAAAAATCCAACATCCAAACAGCAACGATGGAGATCAAGTATTTTATTGACAGCTGGAATAGAATAACAACACACTAAATTGTGCATTTACTCAACAAGATAACTGTTTGCCAAAGCATCTGGAAATATAATTTAAAAGTCAACGCCACTTTGTCCCTCTGCCAACATTCAGGTCCTGGAGGCGGCGACACAAAGAGCAACAGAAGCGACGCTAACAGAAGCTCGTTGAGCGGCGCCCGTCTGCTCCACACGGTTGAAATGCTCCTCCGATGAAGCTGCTCAGAGGAACGAGGAGCTGAGCTCAAGGACTCGCGTGGAAAAGCTTCCCGGGACGACGCGACTTCACAGAGGAAAAAACGCTTTTCCATCAGCGCTGCTTCGGAAAGTTTAAAACCCCCAAAAGCAAAACCTTCTCTCCTCAGTAATGTTTGAGAGGCTTTAAGGCTGTGAATGCTGTGGACAAAATCAAGTCCTTATTGGAAAAATAAAAGGATTTTCTTTATAAAATTTGGGGGTGGAGCCTAAATGTTGTTGAGGACAACGTAAAAGCAGCGACGTGTGACTTAGAACTCGTAGGTGAGGGTTCATTTAACGGGAAATGGCTTTAGAGTACGATAAGGGTCCAACATCTAGAGCACCGGCCCCCATTGACTCCCACCTTTAACGTAACACCACAAATAAAAGGGTTTTGGTTTCCTCAGCTGATATTCCTGTTCACGCACGTTTCAAACATCAATAAAGAAACTTCAGTGGGATTTTTGTATGTTACTGAAATAAGTATTCTAAAGAAACAGGTCCGACTGTTTGAGTACCTACTTTGTTAGAGAATACACAAATACATGAAACACCAGAAACTCAATCAGAACAAATGCAAAGATGATCATTTGCAAACAGCAGGTAATTAACACACCGTTGAAGTGATGGGAGGCGACACTGTGAAACCTTTTTAAGTGACCATTCTTAGTCCGTGCACCTGACAAAATGTACAAGTGTTTAAGGCCTCTATTTACATTGTAATATGCAAGTAACATCCAAATTCATCTGTGTCTACAACCATTGACACAATCAAAACATGGAGGAGAAAACACGTGTCGAGGACAACATCTATTAGCTCAGCGAAAGATACAAAGTGACACAAAAAGACTCTGATTTTAAAGACTTTGATGAGCAAATGACACGATCAGGTTTTAATTAACAAACAGGAAGCAGCTCTTCAGTCTGATGGGGAGATTAGAGAGGAAGGTTTGGAAGAACAAAGGTGTCATAAAGGCTTCATAAAGGCTTCATGAAGGCTTCACAAAGGCTTCATGAAGGCTTCATAAAGGCTTCACAAAGGCGTCATAAAGGCTTCACAAAGGCTTCATAAAGGCTTAATGAAGGCTTCATAAATGCTTCATAAAGGCTTCATAATGGCTTCATAAAGGCTTCATAAAGGCTTCATAAAGGCTCAATGATATTGTCTAGTTAGATCAAATATAGACGGGGATCAAATATAGACGGGGAACTTTTGTTTGATGGTTACCGCGGTAACTTCCATTTGTAACTTTGCCTTTGTGAATAGAAAATAAAGTAACACTCAATTATAAAATATTTAGGTGTTAAATATTTAACTATATATAAATATTTTGCTTTCCTCGTTCATTGGTTCTTAAGTGGGAAATGAGCTCTTAACATGTTTGTTTGGCACATAAGAACACGGACAGAAGCACATTCCTCGAGTCACAGTAAGAGTCGTCCATTCGTTTAGAGTAGAACTATATCATACACATATATCTATATATATATATTTGATTTATAGAACGTTTCTAGTGTCAGTTATTTTCTAGTTTAAAGGGGGCCGACTAGATGCTCCTCCACAGAGCAGACTGGTTCTTTTAACGCGTTTCAGCATTAAGGCGTATTCAGACAGACGTTATGAGACAAACAACCTCCTTTATGAACATTAAAACACGTAAACATGTTCTAGAAGAACGACTGAACCTGAAACCGAGCACGATACGTCCCCTTTAAATCATAAAGACCTTTACGTCACTTTAAATTCATGACTGTAAACATGTATTGGACACACGTTTCATATCAAACACACCGCGAAAGACAAGTTGAATTGTCAAATGAATGAATGAATCAGCCTAAAAACAAATGCCATGCCTGGTTGTATTTTAATTATTGCTTTGAAGAATGTAGCTGATTTGTTTGGAAATAGATACAGTATTAATATCCCTGCAACGCCGCTACTGGCAAAACAAACAGAGGCCCTTTGCAAACCTGTAACGAGTGAAATCAGTCTGAATGTAACGCACATGTTGTTCTGAAATGATGTCAAAAAACAAACCCGGTGACTTTGTTTGTTATTGTTTGGAACTTTGAGTCTGAATCTTGTTGCTACATATTGTTCACTTCCTGCGTCCCGTAGCTCCGCCTCCTCGTCGCGTGGAGCTCATGCTAAGTCTTATCAAGTAGGATGCTAATTTATTACAAGCTTTATTCAGTCATGCGGATGCTACCAGCTAATGCTACTAACTTACAGTAACTAGCGTGGATCCCCCCACCCCACACACACACACACCGAGATTTAACGTTAACCAACTAAGTTATTAAAGATTAACTTTCTCACTCCAAAAGACACAAACTACCATAATATTTATCATCAGAATAAGAATAAGAATCATAAAGTGCCCAAATGAAACAGACTCACTACTTACATACTTTTTGTTGTCCGATAAACTATAAATTTGTCTTAGATTCAGACGCAAACCTCCCCCCCAGTCGCAGCTCAGCTAGTCAGCAGGTCAGCGGTTTGGAGCTGTGATCCGGACGAAGTGACGTCTTGTTTCTGTATTGAGGAAGAGGAAGAGGGAGAGGAAGACACTTGCAGGTACAAATTGGCACGGAATAAACTCCTGATTAGAAAATTGATAACCCAAAACCTTCTTCTCTTTTCAAAAGAGAGGACGAATCCTAGAAAAGGACCAGAAGTATTCAGCCCCTCAGCATCAGTGAGCAACATCAACATCCCACCAGGACGTCTGCACACGCAGTCACATAATCAGGGCTTCCAGATGGGTCTGATGTTTTCTTCGGGGACTTCACAGCTGATCACACTCACACACACACACACACACACACAATCCCACAGGAACATCAAAGGGCCAAATGTGTGACACAAAAGAAGAAAACAAGTGTTCCATGGTCAGTTACAACAAATAATCTATATATATGATTATTTTTATTCCAGTCTTCAGTAGTCCTGCTGATCCATTCATGCTTCTGCAGAACAGAAGGCCACGGCTGCCCCCCCGCCCCCTTTGAAGAGTCACCATTGAGTAGGTCTTTGTCTTCTGAGGAGACCACCACCCTCCAGTTCGGAAACAACAAAAGCAGACGTACTCCGTCTGATGCTGGACAACAGTGTGTTTCCAGAGAGAAATGACCCGCTGGGTCGTGAAGTCCCGGGGATTCCTTCCCGAGTTCGGTTGGACCGGCGGAAGCGTCCTCGGCCGACGAGGCATCGGACACCTTCAGGCCGGCGGGCCGAAGACATTTCCTGGCTGGAGTCTTAGGAGCGCTCGCAGCACGGCCCGATGGTGCTCTCCAGGGACATCTGGGAGGAGTGGCGGATGAGCGGCGCCATGGCGGGGTCCACCATGGAGGAGGTGGGGAAGAGCTTGTACCAGCCAATCACCATCGTGCTGAGGTCCAGCTCCTCCAATAGGATTCGGGCGACGCCCATGAAGCACTTGCGGTCCATGCGTCCGTAGTTGCCCCAGACGATGACCTGTGGGTGAGATGTCCGTATGGATTTGGAGGCGGAGCATATTCAAACTGTTTTACCATCAGCTAGCCAGCTAGCCGCTAGCCGCTGAGCACTTAAGACAACGCCCACCTTCGATCATACACCTTGAATCACATGTGCACGTACAGGTGAGACAAAAGAGAAATAAACTACTCAGAGGTGTTGATGCATGAATATGTTTGTTCGACGGCTCACTGGGGGGGGTCCTCTGCCCCAATGACATCACTGCCCATTCGGGTATGCATGATTCCACACACACACACACACACACACACACACACACACACACACCCTGCAGGTGCTGATGTGTTGCCTTGAAGTGAAGATCACACGGACCACTGATGGACGGACTTGAGAGCAGGAATAAAAGCTCTTACACATCAGAAAGTGGGACGCTATGAACAAATAAAACCTTTTTACTTTACAGTGTGGTCACCATGACGACTAATAATAATAAGTCCATAACAGCAACGAGGCCTTTCCTGTTTGCACATGACAACAGCCGCCGCCTCAATGTATTGATTCCGGTTGAATAGCTTGATTGATTCCTGCCGTGATAACCGGTGTGAACGAGCTGTGATGAACCAGATGGACACTGTTTCATACACTCACATATCTCATGTCATTGATGTCTGAGCCGCTGTTACTTCATCCGTTATTATTTGGTTGTTTTTATTGTTTAAACTCTGATCTGCTGCCATTTACTTTTTTTCAACACTGATTATTTCAAACATGAATAACCTTTGGGGGAAAGATATTGTTGACGGTTTGAATGACAAACTGATTGAGATCTTTTGTATCGTAACAAGCCGACATTTAGAAACAAAAACAGGGAGGGGAGGAGGGGGGGGGGGGGGTCTATGGAACATGTTAACGTCCCACAGAATGGACCTTTTTGAGCTGGAGGGCAAAGTCTGTCGATGTTGAAAAGCAGAAGAGACGTAGCCGATCATTAGGAGGAGTCGTTTAGCGACTAATTGCAGAGCAGCCGGAGGCAGGAAGTGAACACGGAGAGTGACCTCGGCTGACACACACACACACACACACACACACACACACACACACACACACACACACGCGGCTCATTAGAGACTGAATATGAAGATAAAAAGGAATCTTTAAATCCCCTTTTCTTTAACAATTAGTCGTCAGGTCCACGTTAGTGTTATAAACAAGGAGGCGGGATCGGAGGAGGCGGCGCGTCTCACCTGCACCACTTTGCCCTGCGGGCTCTCGGAGAAGACCAGGACCTGGTTGTAGAGAGGATCCAGAGACTTCCTCACCGACTTGGTCTTCTTCTTGGCCACGCAGGTCCCGTTCTCCAGGAGGTAGACCTTGATGTAGGCCGCTACGCGATGGAGGAACAAGAGAAAAGACGGCAGTCAGCAGGGCGGCGTCTGCGGCGCTGTCGGTGAGACTAAATGGAGAAGAGGTTGTGAGGGACCTTCTCACTGCGACGTGACCCGGCGGTTCGACTGAACAGGATTTGACCAGAAAACATTACTTTACAAAATGTCAAAAGTGACTTTAATTAATGGAAAACACATTTTGAAAAAGGCTAAAAACTGCAGGGCAAAAAAAAACCTACTTTCATTTTCACACTTTATTCCCTTTGTGCTGTTTGTCTCTGAGCTTCTCTCCTTCACCTCCATCCTCCTCTCACACCTGTCGCTCTCCTCTGCCTTTGATCAATCAATGGCGGTTCATCATTATGTAACCGGGGGGGGGGGAACTTTAATCAGTTAATGGTTTGGTGCTGAAATGTTGACATGCGGGCTTTCCTTCTAGTTGGAGGAGAAGGTTATCTGATCGGATCAATCAACCTGATCAGTGGCGTGAGCTGTCACAAGTCAATGGACACACACACACACACCTGGTGGCGTTATTTTATCTGTCTTTTATTCAACTTCATGTGTCTTTATTTACTCGCTCTATTAAAGGCGGATTCAGAGAAGCTTTGAACCTGGAATGAAGCCAAATGATCTAGAATTTCAAAATGAAAATGTTCTGAATTGAGCTCAGGAGCTTCCACCTGTTCCCCCGTAGCTGTTTTCCATTTGTCGTATATGCCGGTTTACCTGGAGGTCCCTTTGAACCCGCTTTCATGGTGAGTCCTCTGGCCTGGACGACCTCCACCTCCAGAGCCCCGTTCCTCTCCATGAGGCCGATCTCTACGTCACCTGGGCGGATGGAGACACAGGTGTGCTAACAAACGGAGCCAAACCCCCCCCCCCCTCCTTCAAGTTTAGATGTGCAATGGGGGAGATTTTACAACTGGTGGATGACAGAGAAGACTGTCTCTCTCTCTCTGTCTCTCTCTCTCTCACCCATCGACGTGGTCGCCAGCGTCTGGCGCCCGACGAACTGGGCGGGCCCCATCCCGTCCAGGAAGTCGCTGAACTGAGCGTCTGATGCCAGACACATGCCGCTGTAGTTCAAGCTGCAGAGAGAGGGGGGGGGGGGGCACTGGTTAAAAACAGGCCCAGTCTCACTTAGAGGAGGTGAGTCAGAAGCTTTTAGTTCAACTCTCAGATTTGGTTCCCTGAAATGACCCCCCCCCCCACCCCCCCCCTTACTGTGTGTGCAAAGGAATCAGCTGAGTGCTTTGGTGGCGAAGCGCCATGTGAACTTCCGTGTGTGTGTGTGTGTGTGTGTGTGTGTGTGTGTGTGTGTGTGTGCGTGCGTGTGGAAGGACACATCATAACGTGCTCTGATGAAAGTCGCCACGTGCAAATGACACATTGATTATTGCCGAATACCAATCAGCTGCTTTGATTTAGAGTTTGAGGTCGTCACCACAGAAAAAGAAGGAGGTGTTTCCTTCCTTTTCTTCCTCTCCATCGCTCGCCTTCGCCTCTCGTCCCGTCTTCCAACTTTACAGCCTCTATTCGTCTCACATTTAACGACGAAGGGCCAAGATCTTTGTGCCCAAAGGAAAGAAAAGTACCACGATATTTACTAGATTGTTCTCAGGAAGTCACACACAGGCGAGAGGCCGAATGATTCACCACTGAGGGGAGACTTAATTAGATGAAATTAAATGAGTCATTAATGCGGCAAACAGTCAAACATTAAGTTGGTCTCTCGTGTTATTGTGTGTTGTTTATATCAATGTATGTCTATGTTTATGCGTGTGCTGCAATAGGTGAATTATTATACAGGGCCTTATTAAATCCAGATGTTAGGGAGAAATCCTGATGAGGCGGCGTAATCCAGCATGCGTGTGTGTGTGTGTTGACATGTTGTGTTGAGCAACATTAGCCGAGTGGGTGTTACTGGCTGTAGATTATAGTGTGTGAGGCACATCTGGGGATTATTCAGCGTTAACCTGCAGCCGGTGTAAAAAACAATATCCAGTCTTTTTAATTGACCAATCTTAATCCTGCTGAGGCCACGCCCCCTTTGAGGGGAAGAATCGTGACTTATTTGTGCCTTTATTAGTATTCATATTTTTTAGGTACTTGATTGACCAGCATGCGGCCGGAGATTTTCCAGATAAATTCGCTTTGTGAATTCATCAGCATTACGTCTCATTTCTAACAATCCGAGAGCTTAGAGCCCATAAAACACAAACCCGTCTCTTCAGGCCAAAGTCGAGTCACATGAGCCGGATGAAGATAATGTGGAATGAAACATTCTCCAATCCCTTTGCAAACCGTCCCAGTTTTGCACCACACACACACACACACACACACACACACACACACACACACACACTCTGAACTGCCCGGAGCCATAAATCAATAAGCTGAGTGTGATTGGATGGGTTAGCTTATTGACGGGAGCTTTTTCAATCAGCGGGCCGAACCGACCGGCCCGAGAACGCCGGCCCGGTGGCCGAGCGGCTCTTTAGGGGAACGCGGCTCGGTTCGACGCCCGCCGCCTGCGCCCCCCCCCCCCCTCCCCTCCTTCCATTGGCGCCACTGGGCTCCCTGAAGTCTGGAAGAATCAAGAGGTCACAGAATCGGTAACGGCGCCCTCTGACGGTGGGACCTCGGGGTTCGGGGAGAAGGGAATTGGTTTGAGCCTTTTTACGGGCGCCTCGGTTCTGGGAAACGACTCTTCGTTTCTCAGAAACGCCTAATCCCAGTCGTCTAGTATCCATCCCCGCGTTGTTTAACGTGTCTTCATGATTGTCCCCCCCCCCCCGGGCAGTAATCCACCATGAGCGGCCTGCTGGAACGAGAGCTTTTCCAAAGGTGCTCAGAAACAAAACGGCTTCGGGCCCCAAGAGGACGTCCCCGGAGTCCACGTGTCCGGACCACCGGCGCCGCGCCGCCAGCCATCAAAACACTTACATATTGGATTATTAATATGCAAACACATGATGCAATCTCTGCCCCCCCCCCCAGCTCCCATCTGCTTCCTCTTCTTATGTAACTGCAGGAATCCAAGCTGGTGGCCAGGTTGGCACTCAGTCTGTGTGTGTGTGTGTGTGTGTGTGTTCAGTATGATGTCACCACTTCGGATGACTGGAGCCGACGAGGAAACTAGCAACTAGGAAGCAGAGTGTTTGTGCCGATGGTGTCATGTGACTTACTTCCCCTCCGAGCCGTAGCTGTTCATGCTGTCCTCTATCGACTCGTGACTCGCCTGCCGGACCGTCCGACTCGGCATCTCCACGGCCAGACCCGTCTCCGTGCTCCTCTGGATGGCCCCCTTCAGCTTCCTGCCCTCCGTGTCCACTGTGTGGGGGGGCAGACAGGAACAAACACGTTATTTCGAGGGCCATAAGTTGTGCTGTTTGACCAGTTGAAGCTGGTTGGATGGAGGATCAACGAGGAGCCTGAAAGGAACCACTGGAGGCGCCTCGCAGCCGACTGCAGCCCAAAGGCATTGTGGGTACTTGTGAGGGGGAGAAGTTGATTTACTTTTCTCCTGTTTCCTGTCAGGGAGGTACTCGAGCCACCGTATGTTATTTCGCTGGTTGTTTGTTTGTTGTTTGTTGCAGTGACCTCAGAAGGACGAGTGAGCTCCTCCTCTTGGTGTCAAAATTGACCACGGAATCGATGCCCGGCACATTTAATGGGACCTTTCTCTGACTGCAAGGTGTCCTGAGTGTGTGTGTGTGTGAGTGAGTGTGTGTGTGTGTGAGTGTGTGTTCACGGAGCTTGAGTTTATAATGAGGTTCTCTAGTAGAAGCTCCTCGACCTTGTTTGCCTTCAGTAGTGCGGACGGAGGAATATTTTTGTGAAACGCGGTCCGTGTCGTGATGAAACCTCAGGTGTTTACGGTTTCAATCTGAATGGAACGAAGTACGTTTTATGAAGTGACACACACACACACACACAGACACACACACGCACACACACACAGGTGAGTCCTGCAGTTGTTGCAGGGCGACCTAGAACGGTTCTATTTCCATCGCCCGCACGGGACTCTGACACATTTGGGTTACTGCTGCTGCCTCTCGACGTTCCAGAAGCATTAAATGTTTGAAACGCGCACCCTGCGAGTGTCCCACAATGCAATGCGTCGGAGTTGTGGTTCTGTCCCTTTATTTAGTATACGTGAAGCATACGAACGTTCTGGGATCATCAGACATTAACCAGCCGGTCTTGACCTGATTTCCTTCCCTATTTAGGTCCAATATGTGCAAATAATTGTCGCCTTCACCTTTAAGCCGCTTCTCAACAGAGGGACACATTTACGTTCGGCGTGTTTTTAAATGCGTGGACACAGCGAACGTCCCTGGTCCAGAGCCTCCGCTTCCTGTCGCCCGCCGAGACGGAACACAGGCGAAGCCGTCTGATGTGACGCGTTGAGAAGAGTTGTGATGAAGCGACTGGCAGGAGAGTCGAGACTCATTAGTCCGTCTCCCAGCGGAGGGACGCCGAGGGACAGAAATAGACGCTCCTCGTTCTGCCAGCAGACACTCTGTGGCCCACATGCTCCAGATCTATTTCATACCTCCGTTATTGTACTCGTTATGAAGAGTCCTTGATGGCTTCTTTGTAAGTATTGTCACAGTGTATTTAAATCCCTCCGCTGGGGAGGTTTGCACGCTCGGGTCATGTTCACCAAATCGTCCCGTCCATCCCGTCCATCGGCCCGCTGAGACCTTCCATCCGCCACGTTAAGCAGCACTGCGCTGCAGACGCCACGTGGGGGTGAACAGTTAAGTAAAAGAAGAATGTGCCGCGTCACCGTTCGGCTCCTCCGTTGCACGAGAGCATCTGGCGCGAGGTGGTGGTCCGGAGACGGAGGTCCTGCAGCCGATGAGGAGCGATCACTAACGCTGGAGATGAAGAGCGCTTCCAGAACCCTCCGGGCACCGCCGGCGGTGACGGAGCTAGTCGCTTTATTGGGAGACGAGAGTCTTTTTCTACCGAGGGCCGTGCTGCCGAAGCCGTTTGGGGAGACTTGAGAGGGAAGCCAGGCGGCTCGAGTGCTTTGCTCAACTTGGATTTTTATGTCTGATGATAAAAAAAATAGGGAACATTGGAGATTATTATTATTATTCCACAAGCCCACTACACCCAACAAGGCCCCTTCCAGGCCAATCGGCCATTCGGCCAACAGCAAATGCCCCTTTTTCCATCAAAACATATAAATAGCTGATCGCTAATCCGACCATAATAAAGCTCTTTGGTTTTCCGTGCCGTCATATTTCCATACAAAACCTCACTACCAACGAGCGACCACAGAGGTGCATCATGTGTCTCTGTGTGGCCATATTAGTTTACTGGATGATGGGGGGTTGGAGTTTGTTATTAGAAGGTGCCTCCATCACACTGATGGTATTCCTTCTTTAAAAACAGTGGCCGATGTACCGATTTCATTTGTAAACAGCAACATACCAACATAACAAACAAAAGGTCACTCACTTTCATTCTCATGGTGTTTTGCAGCATTCGGATGAACCTCAAATATCTGGTTAGGAGTTTTTTACGCTGTTAGATTATTTCCATAATAGTTTTTCCTCCTTTCTGCCACACAAAGTGTCCTTTGGAAATTGGATGGAGTAGATGTTTCCCTTTGACTCCACTCAGGGAAAAGGAGAGGTCCTGGTGACGTGATGGAGTTATTGATCGGGGGCTGATGATTCTTGGCGTAAGCCGTATGCATGAATGTACGATTCTGTCATAAAATCTGTCCTTTGTCATTGGTTCATTAAGGACCTCTGGACCTGCTGCACTGCGCTCAGGCCGATGTGGGTTTTATGTTCCACACAACATACAGCTCTGGTCCAATGAACCATTAAGGAAATAAAGATAAATTCAATTGCAGAACTGCATCACATCTACTAGGACCTCTGTGAGGTGATGAGACGTCACAGAGGTCCTAGACATCACAGCCAATCAGATCCATTCGTGCTCACGTCTAAAGAGGGCGGAGCTCAAAGGTAAAAGATGTCGGACCAAACTCCGTAGAACAGGGGGTCGCTGCTGCATCTCGCCATCAGCCTGAAAAACGTTGAAGACTCCTGGCTTAGGGGATTTATAAAATAAAAACACTACAAAAACGTCAACAAATTGAGTGCCGGATGTCTGGCCGTTGTAAAATGTCACCGCTGTGAAACAATCTATAAAACACTCGCTGGTGACACTGAACTAGTCAGATTCATCCTCTGAACACCTGCAAGTTGCCGCAAATTAGATAATGCGCTTTTTGATCTAATTAAATCTCTCTGTATCCCCCTGATCGAACAGTAAACACTCGACGTGGTCACAGTCAGTTTGTGCCGCTGTGGTCGGCCTCGTCTTCCCCGGCGGGACGAGTGTGACAGCAGGAAGGACGCGAGGGAGCCGCGTCGGGAGGTTCCTGCATTATTTACTATTTTATTTCACCCACATCTATCATTTTATTTTATTTTTTTCACCGGCAGATTCGGATCGCTAATGTTGGAACAAACTTTGAAAGGTCTGAGACGGAATGTAAAAGACGGTAAAGGAGAGAGCTAGAAAGCAGACTGAGAGTAAGAGCCCATATTTACACAAACATTCAGCACTGCGTCACTGAAGCAACGCAGCAAACAAACCAGAGAAATCTCTCATGTCTCTCGGTTGGCCGGAGGCTCCAACACCCATCGCGTTCCCCCCGTTGGCGATTGGTAGGCGGCGTATCGACGGTGCGTTCTTTCGTTATTAGCAGCGCGCGGGTGTTATCAGAAATTGTGTAACCGCTTTGCAGCCGTTAACGCACCTTTCCACGCGACAATAACACAAAATATTAAATTATTGCGATGAAACACCCAATTAACTGGATTTTACTCATGAAAGAGATCATCAGATTATTACACAAACTTAATTTCATTAAATCTTCTCTCTAAGTCCAACTTTTAATCTAATTATCAGCATTAGTGGTACTGATGAAGTGCATGAGGCGTCACGGCTCTGTGATGAAATCAAAAGCATTGAAGTTGAGGACGTCGCTCTTTAATCAGGCGGCGCTGCAGCAGGGAGATGAAAGGTGGGGGGGGATTTGTAGACGAGAAATGACGACCATCACGGGACCCTTTAAGCACAATTCACACAAACCTTCAGACGTTGAAATGATTTTTTGTTTGAGACCCTTCTGCGTATCCATCCATCCAGAAAATCTTTTAAACGTTTATAGTTTTGGCCGAGTTTGAAGAAAAGAACAAACACCAATCTGATACGGGTCCATTAAATAGAAAGATAGTTAGCTTAGCACAAAGACTGGAAGCTGAGGGAATAAAGCTAGCCCATCCCCCAACATGCCTTATTCCTGGTGTTTTTGGGGCATTCTTTAGTGTGGGTCAAGAGGAGATAAGTAGGAGACATGAACATGAGGAGGTGAATGACTTGGGGAGAGGAAACACAGAAGGAAAAATGTGAGAAGGGAGCAAAGCTAATAAAGTCATGACGAAGACGAGGAAGTGAAGACAGAGACTGAGGCAGAGGGAGAAGACACGAAGAAAGAAGGGAGGATCCACCCTGAGAGACGCTGAGAGGACGCTGTCAACAACATTGAGAACGGACTCAGTCATTTTCCTGTCATCGCCACTCGAAGCATTAAGAATGAAATCACACGCTGGCTTCATTGTGTTGGAGGAGCTCATCTGGTGTGGCTTTGTCTCCACATGACGAGCTGACTTCCTGCTCTCATTCTGGCACAAAGACTTTCCCCACCTCCCTCCGTCCTTGTGTCCTCCTCCATCTTTGCTTCTCGCCTCCGTCTCCGTTGTAAAGAGCGAGCAGTAAAGTGCACGGATCATGTACCAGCGTCTGGTCCGGTGCCACGTTTGGCGTTTGATAAATGACCTGGATAAAGTGGATGCAGTAGTTTTTGGCGTTGCCCGTAGGTTTGTGGAGGGTTATTTTGATGTTTGATCCAAGACGCTGCTGTGAAGTTACCATGGGGCGAAGTGAAGGTTCTTTTCCGCATTTCTACTTTAATCTCAGGTAAAGGAGACTCTGGATTACGGAGACTCCCCCCTGCTGGTCGGGGAAGAGAATGCAGGTTTTAAGACACTGCAGTCCACCAGAGGTTGTCTCCTGTGCACATCTTCTACCTTCCACATGCTGAAGCCTGGCATTAAATCCCCCCCCCCCCCCCCTCAGAAGACACCTGCAGCCTTCTCCTCCTGGAATAGACCTCGTTTGCTGGCGGTCTATTTCGTACGCTCGACTTTTCTGGGTCATTTCTCCGACTCACCAGAGACCTCCTCCCTCTCTCCTTTCCTCCTCGATAACTCATAACTGTGACATCGCCTCCAATGCGTCTTTCTGCCTTCAGTGTTTCTGCTATGATGCATTAATGCCGCCACACATGCTCGAGTCCTGCGGGGCGGAAAACCTTTTCCTCGTCTTTTTCATTAAAAACGGGACTTTGAGTTATAACATTTACTTTAACTCGGAAGCCTTGTTTCCTTTGTCTCCGTGACTTGACAGCAGGGATGAAGACGCAGAATTTGAGTGATGATGCAATGAAGGGAAGGAGGGGGGGGGGTGATTGAGTGAAGGAAAAAGACGTGGGCTGCAAGAGGAAGGAGAGATAAAGAGACAAGGAGACAAGGGTGACGATTCCTCAGTTCTCCCCCCTCCGTTTCGCCGTCATCTCATAGCTTCCTCTTCGCATCCACTCGTCCTCCCTGTCCCTATGTCCCAGCGTCCATCACTTACAACGCTGCTTACATTTGTCCCCCCCCGTCCTCCTGTCTCTTATTTCCTTTGCTGTCTCTCCATATCTCCTGCGATCACGGCTAACGTTCCCCATCCTCCCCCGGACGTGACGGCTCATTAGTTTAGGCCATAATATCTGATGCACGTTCATACTTCAGACTATCGTTCATAAGTTCACCAGAAAGCCAGGAGGTCTGGGGGGTAAACTCGGCTTCTGCCGACTTTAAACGTTGTGGGACACTTTCTTTCATATCTGTCAAATGCACAGACACTCACAAAGACCTATAAAATACAGCATTATCCTGAGCGTAAATCTTATCCTGGATAAAGGAAACAAAGAAAAAATCTATATTCTTCATTTTCCCCTCTTTTTTCTACAACTATAGAACTACAGCAGCACTCACACACAGACATATAGACTCAGTCTCCATTCTATTGGAATGAACAAGAAGAAGCCTCAGAGGAAAAAATACATTTTCGCTAAAACACCGAAGCCACTTTGGGACCAGAGGAGTCGCCCCCTGCTGGTCGCTACACAGAATGCAAGTTTAAAAACCCTGGGTGGGGTGATATAACTAGGGCTGCAACAACGAACCGATAAAATCGATTGTTAAAAGCGTTGGCAACGAATTTCATTATGGATTCGTTTTGTCGCGCGATTATTACGCGCGCGGAGCAAAAATAAAAATAAAGGCGCCGAGCCGACGTAGAGGAAAGAGCAGCCGGCAGTTGTTGTGAGTCACATGACGCAGGGAGAGACGTCTGTTCGACTGGTCGTCTAAGGTGTGCGAGCGTGGGGGGTCCCGGTCCACGTTGTCCCGTTTTGACGTGAGGGACGTAACAAGCCTCCTGTTCGTCATCCAGCTGATCAAGCTAGCGTTAGCTCGCTAATAACAGCAGTAAAGCAGTTAGCAAGACTAAGACACGTTTTTATTTACTCGCCTCTTTTGGGACCATTCGTTTTTCAATGTGTTGTCTGATATTTTGTGCTTTGTCCCATATCGGTTGTTGTTGACAAATATATTTGTGTGTGTTGTTTTTAATGCTGTCATGTGTGGTAGTCTAGTGTGCTTGCGCATATAATGTGGGTTATACGGTAGTTGATGTTATGCCTGTAAAGGGAGACACATGATCCATTAAATCAACTAAGAAGCCTCTAATGCATTTATTTACAAATGTCATTTTAAATTCATCTCACAGCACTTGGTTGTTTTTTAGCTGTATGCATTTACTTAACTTGCACTACAATGATGGTAATAATTTAATGACTATGCTTCAAGTGAACATGAGGGTGTGTTTGTGAGTGTGGTATAGAGAACTAGTTCTGACGAATTTGAGGTTCTGTTTTAGAATGAAGGGTTGGAAATTAAAGCTTTTTAATGCCGTTTTTCTTAAAATCCGATTCATCGATTAATCGAAGAAATAATCGACCGATTAATCGATTATCAAAATAATCGTTAGTTGCAGCCCTAGATATAGCCACAGAGGTGGTGTTACAGATAAGCTGAACATCTGGACATATAATGGGGCATTTATTGATGGGTTGTCTGATGGATATAAAGACGGTTTCTTCGGCTCAGAAGCAGTTGATGGAAACAAAAGCTTAATTCACATTTATTTCAAAAGTTTACTCCTGAGTAACTTTTGGAATTAATGACATTACTGTGACTGTTTTTTAGTTTTAGGGAGATCCTCCCCCCGTGTTTGGACGTTGCTTTATAATCAGTCTGGTGATGGGACAGATTTTGATTTCATCTTTTACATTTCATTTGGAGAGTCTGTCACCAAGAGTTGTGAAATCTGACGGCTCGATTACACGTACATAAGCATTGAGTGTGTGTTTGTTTGTGTGTCTATGTTCTCTCTGATGAAGAGATGTGAGAAAAGAGGATGAACAGCGGTCAGAGACGTGAGAAGTTCTGATTTATGTTTTGTTCGTTCTACCGAGGAGACAATTAAGACAGAAGCTACGTTGACTTAGATATCTACAGAATAGAGGTTTTGCTGTTATTACTGAATTTGAGCCCTTGTTTATGTTTGTTAGGTCCAACTCGCTAAAGGTAATGCAGACAAATCATCATACATTAATAGAACATTATGTAAACGTGTGGATCTTTAGATGTCTTCTAGAGAGGGCTTTGTTTTGCTTCATAATTACATGGATTATAAGCAATTTTTTGCGGGTTATTGGCAAATAACAACACAATCATTCCCATAAATATAACTAAAAAGTCAAAAATAGCTGAACATGTTTCATTATATGATCGTATTTAAAAATGCCCACGTCTTCTAGCCAATAAAAGTGTTCAAAAGTGACGTCACCCATAAAACAGCCCCTTGATCATCACGTCTTAATCACTGTGAATTTGACAAACCAAAGTGAAGTGAAGCAAAAAAGAGCCAAAGTGGAAACAAAGGGGACGGAAAGGCGATTTAAGGTGGAGAAGACGGGAGTTAACCTGCAAACGGGATTCAACGAGCGCGGAGTGAAACCGGTCGAGAGACACCGAGGCCGAGAAGAGAGAGAGAGAGAATTAACCTGCAATCAGGCCTCTATTTGGCTGCTCTGCCTTATTAGCATCTAATCAGAGTGAGCGCCGCAAACCGCAGCCTGCCGCCGCGCTCTGATTACCACGCACACTGCACACCGTGTGTGTGTGTGTGTGTGTGTGTGTTTCTTATGGGACGGCGAGACGAGCGCCGGCAGGTTCGAAATCTGTCCCCAAGTGTGGGCTGGATTATTCACACCTTCATGCAGGGGCGGCGCCGCTCCTCATCAGGCTGGTTAACGGGGGACGGTTCACATCAGTTAACGCACAAAAGGACCTGACACGAAGAGCCGCCTGCAGGAAGGAAAAGTCAAACACCGCCAGGCCAGCGGGGAAAGGACGGGTCGTATAGAAATGTATGGAAGGATATTAAGTCAATGTTTGGGAGAGGGCGGGGGATTAGCTGCGCTGGCACAGGTACAATACTTTAACCCGAGTGAACTCCTGCAGCGCAAACAGGGATTATTCAATTCCACTGTTTAAAAGAGACAGCGACCATCATAAACGTCTCCTTTCGCTTCCTCTCTGAGCGTCGGGAGAGCGGTTTGGTTCATTTGAAATGTTTGTCATTTAAAAATAACTTATTTGCTTTGTAAATACATGTGTGTTTTCAGCCAAGCGGAACGTTTGGTCGAGTCCCAGCTGGTCCAACAAGGTCCGACCAGGAGATTACTGGCGACCACGGTACGGCCGTCTGTTCTCTCTCGTGTCTTTTTATATGGTTATTATCTGAATGCTGGTGGTGCAGATTTCCTCTTACTGGATTGTGCGTCCGTGCTGTAATAGTAATTTAAGTCAACACTATTTAAAACAGATCATTAAATGTTGCTCTTAAAGACAAGATTTCGAGCCCAAAACAGACAATTCCACAAACTTATAATAACGCAAAACCCAACGTATCAAAATCCAGTGGAGCAAAGATTCAAACGAAAAATAGCAATTAACAAGATGAAGAAAGCTGGTATGTTGCGATCCATTGACTGTAAACAGAAGGTGGACGTTACCCATTGGTTTTTGCCACGCTGTTATGAAGCCTCGAGATTGGCGACCCTGTATTTTTGGTCTATTTTACTTTAAATGGATAAGAATTTTAAAAATCTTTACTAAACGAATCATGGATTCATGAGACCAAAGCAGCAAGTTTAGGAACTGAGCAAATATAACAAAAAAATGAATTAGAGTTACGAACTGTAGCTTCAACATTGAAAACATGAATCTACTGTAAAATCTGATACTTTTAAAGAGTTTTTTCAAAGAGAGGGTTAGTGTGACATCAAACTGAAAGTAATGTAAATCTAGCTCTGATACCAGTTCAGAGCTAAAATAATTACTCAAAAGTATGAACACAAACACACGCAATATAAACATGTTCCTGCCACACACACGTTCTAAAAACACATCCATCTTATATCAATTTTACTTTAAACAGGTGTATTAAATGCACTCATTTCATAAAATACGGAAAATAAATAAACTAACAGAAGTAAATCCAATTAAAGTTATTTTAAACAATCTTTAAGTTAAATTACATTACGCTTGTTTAACGTTAGCTAGTGACGTTAGCCAACTACGTAAGCCGGTGACATTAGCTAGTTTTACGTTAGCCACTTTGACGTTAGCCGGTTACGTAATAAGGGACTTAAATGCACTGAATGATTTTAGTTCTGGCAGATAATATTATTCAATTCAATTTAAGCAACAAAAATGTTTTTCTAAAAAAAAAAAAAATGAGGTGTTCCATCTTATGTCCTCTTTTTAATATTTCCTACTTAATTAATCCATTTTAATCAGATCCCTCTATAAATCAAAGGCATTCTCTGTGATATTGATATGATACAATTAATTTCCTGTCAAATGATCAATGTTTCCGCACTATTTTATTTAGTTTAACTGTCCGTAACCCACCGCATCAAATGCGGTCATATAACACCAATGACAAACGTGCACGTCCCTTCGTGTACAGTGACATGCGTGCGTGTCGCCGCTCACCGCCGTCGTCCTCGTCGAAGGAGTTCATGCACGGGAAGTAGATGGCGAGCGCCTCGAAGGAGGCCGACAGGCTGATGCGGCTCTGCGAGCGCTCCATGTAGAGGCCCGGCGTCGGGCCCGGGTCGGCCGGCTTGGCCAGGCGCGGCTGGGCATTTTTCACAGGAGAATATGCCTCGCAGATTTTTGGGAAGGACTGTACCCAACCCCCATAGGGAGATTAGTTGAGAGAGAAACACACCTCCCACCCCCCCCGGCCAAAACTTACTCGGCGGAAGAAGTTTTAACGCAGGAAATAAGTGTTTTGGTGTTTTGGATGAATGATGATGTCGGTTCTTCTGGGATTCTTCCGTCGGGAAGATGCTGGTTAAGTTGCCCCCCCACACACCCTCCCCCCCGGTTACCGCGCGGTCCCCGGTCGTCCTCTCCGGGGCACCTATGGGGACGTCTCACCTGTCCCTCGATGCGCTCACAAGAACCGGGACGACCAGACGCCCTGAACTCTGCGTGTCAGTCTGACCCGCCCCCGCCCCCCTCCGGTGGTGCCTTCCGCCGCCGGCTCTTCCCCCTCGGTGAAAGGAGGGCGGGGAGGCCGGCAGGACGAGGCCGGGACGCCCGCTCCGGGACGAGTCGCTCCCCGCTCGCTCACACAGCTCTGCGTCTCCTGACGTCTCCCGCCAGTTGCCCGCGAGCCGCTGCGGCTTCTTCTTCTCGTTCTCCCCAGAAAAGAGCAATCAGTTGCAGCAACAATTGCCACTGATGTAAAGGGAGGGTGGGGGGTCAATCTGTTGCTCCTGCGTTGCTTTGAGCTGCACCACAGTTTGACTGTGCGCCGCTTTCCTCCTCCTGCGTGTCCCGGCGAGGTGCGCTCGTCCTCCCGCCGCCGTGCCGATGCTCCAGCGACCGCTGCTGAGACGGGAGGAGGAGAGGGGGAGAGAGAGAGAGAGAGAGAGAGGGGGGAGAGAGGGAGCTGTTCGGTCTCACTGCTTGTGTCTGACTGGATTCATTCACTGCTGAGCTGCATGTAGAGAGACGGGGGGGGGGCGGGGCAGAGGGGATGGGGAGCAGACTGGCCAATCGGAATGTGGATGAGGGAATATGGGCGGGGCTTCAGGGACCGGTTTTAAATCTCTCTCGTTGACAAGTTGACACGCACGGGCATGTTCTCGTGTTATTCCACACGCGACATTGTAATACAGCGCAACAGAAACGTGCTTCTCAATAGGTTTTCTGAACTGAAGACCTGTGTGAACCTTGATTTTCAGAAACAAAAGAATCAAAGCCAGAGGGAACGAAGTCTTTCCCTGCACACCTCTTTGTGTCACAGGCGATGTGTGCGGCTGCATGTGGACGTTACACAGTATCCCGCTTTGACAGACCATTTATAACCACGTTGTCTTGGTTTAAGAAAAGGCTTCAGAGGTCGCGTCAGGGCGTCTGCATCTTGTGATGTCGGGGTCACAAGACGCAGACGCCCAGGGGTCGGGCCTTATCTTAATTTAGTGTTCGTGAAGTCAAAGCCAAAGTGTCGTATACCCCTGGATCACCCTGTAATGACCAGCAGAGAGCGACCACAAAAATAGAAACATGATTGTATAGAAAAGTATAGATAAGTCTGATTGTATAGAAGTCTATGGGAAAATGACATTTCTCACTCGATTTATGTCCTCTTAAAATGTTTTGTAGAACATTGTATTCTCATCTGAAGGAATGTGAGACATTTTTGTTTTCCTAACGGGAACCTTTGTTTTAGTGTGTTTCAGTCTCGTTCTGATAGTTGATCTGAAAAAGGATCGAATCCTTCATCCGTGTGTTTCTACCCATCACACCACAATAGCACAAGTTATGACGCACAAACTACGTCAGCTGGCTTTTTGTTCATTCAGCAGATGCAAAGGGAGTTTTCTTTCAGCAAATGAATCCTGTAAGTAAGTGATTAAGAACCGATATATATATATATAACGTATATATATATATATATCATAACATATAAAAGTCCCCTGTGGTAAATCAGAGAAACTTTAACCCGCCGGCCTTCGTTTGCTTTTATTTCATTGCACTGGCATCGTGTCGACAAGCCCTTCGCCCGCCGCCCCGAGCACTGACCTTTTACAGCGAGCACCTGACGGAGTCTCCGCCTCCGCCTTTTCCGTGTCACCGCCTCCTCTGCCGCTTCTCTCCATCTGCTGCACCGGCAAACGGCTCCGCTTGTTTTTTTTGCATTTTCATTTGCCATTCCAGTTTAATTGTCTCGGCCGTCTTTATTTATTTATATTCTGAATCTGATCAACAAAAGTCTGATTGTGTTGAAGTCTATGAGAAAATGACTCTACTTCTCTCTTGATTTATTCCCTCAGTAAACATTGTAAACAAATCCAGAAACGCTGAAGGCTTCACCTCAAATCCACACGTCCACAAATCAGTGTTTGTAAAACGCATCATTTCCACAAAAACATTCAGCAATTTCTATATTTGATTCATAAATGTTGTTTTGTTTGTTGATTATGTGGCTTTGGTTATCTTCTTAACCTTCTCCATGAACTCTAATTAGCTCTCCGTCTTATTTCTAATTAAATGACTAAATGCTCTGTAAAATCACTTTACTCAAGAGCCCAAGAGTTGCCAAAAAGTGTCTTTATATATTTTCATGTTGATGACTTCAGGCTCGGCATTCATTTGTAGAATACCAAGTTTGTATGTCACTCATTTGTTTCCATAAAAGCGAATTCAGTTTGATTTTTATCAGTACGAATGAATAAAAATCAGCCCGCTACACAAAACCCCCAAACCGACGTTAGCTTCCCGGCGAAAGTTTCCTTCCTTTCCAGCTCACAAATTAAAGCCTATAATCGGTTTGCTTGTAAAACAGCTAATTAGCTGCTCAGCTGCAGAGGATTACACAGCATGTGAACCGGGGGGGTCGAACCTTTTGATTGTGGACTATTTACAGAAAGCAGAAAGAGTCACAGGCCAAACAATGGTCTCTGTAGTTCCTTTAAGCCGCCACACAGCGAGTTCATCACTGGACACTATGCATAGTAATGGCTTGCCCACATATTACAAAAAGTAATCGGCTGCCTTGTAACTACGATGCGTAATATGGTGCATGATGGGTAAGATGAACACAGTTTTCCGGGCTGCAGGGTGACAGCAAACAGACTCACTTTCACCCAGAAAACCGCTGTCTGTGTCACAAAGGCTCCCCAACAGCTGTTGTGTCATTTCATGTATGTCTATGAGATTGTGTCACACAGCCACACACAAAGGAGCATCAGTGATTATTCCCTAGAAATACTTTTTAATCTAATAATAAAAAAGCATCACAAATACATTTTAATAGCCATGATGACAATATATCCGGAAATCTAATGTTTCACATATAAGTCAAACAAAAGAGACAAACATAAGTCAAATAAAAAAATCCAACATTTGTTATTTGTTACCAGTTCAGAAAGGTTCTGCTAATTTCTGTAAAAGAGTTACCTGAGATCCCCGTGTGACATTTTTGTTCTTTGTTTTTTACGTTGAGTTTCGCAGTGAAGGTCCAGCAGCGACTCTACTTTCCGTGTCCGTGTAAAACAAAGCCTCCTCTGGAGTTTACAGGTGAACAGAACACAGAAAAGGCTTTTCTATTAGTGGACAAGCACATATTTACTCCAATTCAAATGGAAGAAGAACAGTAGGTCAAAACGTCGTTCTGATTCATTAACCGGAGGTAGAGAGCAGCCAGAATGACATTTATTAATAGGAAAATGTCCCAGTATGACATCGGCTTAAGAGCTCCTGCACACAGAGAGCGGACCTCGGCGTGGCCTCCTGGGAGATCAGCCTTTTCTGATATGACGCCAATATCAAAAGGTCAACACTGTGTAAGCCTACAAGTGCACACGCCAACTGTCACGAGCCGCTGCTGGAAAACATAGCAGTTTCACATCGGCAGCAAGGTTTGTTTGAAAGGATTTAACAGTTAACAGAACGATCCTTGTCGCGGTTAAAACGACCACTTTGTGATGATGAGGAGAACTTTGTCTTCGTGATGGCAGTAAGGTCAAGAAGCGACCCGGAAGTGACCACATCTGGACTGCAGAGGAGTGACGTAGAGATACTGCTCAGGTAGCGACCAGTCAATCCCAAGGTAGCCCCGCCCTAAAGCGCTCCTCGGCCTTATGGTCCGTTTCAGAACCCGAGGGGTTCCAGTAGAGGAGAACACCGTGCATGGAACCTATTCCACCTTTTTGACACATGCACGAGTTCCCTTTTTAAAGACCAAATCCTAAACTTCTATTCTTGAGCTTTGAGTGTTGAGGCGGTTTTACGTTTACGCCTTAAATCAACAGATGAAAAGGTAAAGTCACCCTTGATACCGTAAAGGTCACGTCTACGCCGCCTGCTCCGCAGCCTTTGAACAAACCGGGACGTTGCCACGGCAACCTCGAGTTTGCAGCAGGCGACGTCAGTATCAGCTGACGCTGATGTGAGATGACAAGGCCGCCCGGAGAGTAGGGGAGGGGGGAAAAAGAAATAATTGAGGAGCTCGCCGGGGACTTGAAGACGTTTGGCGTGTGGCGGAACCAAAGTGACACAAACTGACGGAGAAGATGGAGCTACGGAGCTGGACAGAAGAGGAGAGATGAAAAGATGACAGTGAGGGTTTTTCTCCTCCTCAAACCGGCTATTTGTTTTTACTCTAAACTCACACACACACACACACACACACACACACACACACGGCCTTGTTGTCCTCAGAGATTAAGCAATTGAATGTGTATTCCTTCGTAATCCCGCCCCGCTGGGTATTAACAAGGAAACCTCCATCAGAAGAGTGGAGCAGGTGTGAGGTGTCATCATCCTCATCCTCGTCCTCATCCTCCTCGTCCTCGTCCTCGTCCTCATCATCATCCTTGTCCTCGTCCTCGTCCTCATCCTCGTCCTCATCCTCCTCGTCCTCATCATCATCCTCGTCCTCGTCTTCGTCCTCGTCCTCGTCCTCCTCATCCTCGTCCTCATCCTCCTCGTCCTCATCCTCATCATCATCATCCTCGTCCTCGTCCTCATCCTCATCATCATCCTCGTCCTCATCATCATCCTCGTCCTCATCATCATCCTCGTTCTCGTCCTCATCCTCATCATCCTCGTCCTCATCCTCATCATCATCCTCGTCCT